GGATCTCTGTGAGTTCGAGGCCAGCCTGGGCTACCAAGTGAGTCCCAGGAAAGGCGCAAAGCTACACAGAGAAACCCAAAAAAAAAAAGAAATTTTACAGTCTTGTGGTCACTACTTATTTGTAGTGAGTCATTTTTCTTTTGGTGCTTTGGACATCCTCTCTGATGGGCTTTCTGTTTTGACCCCAGGCCCCTGGAATAGAGCGCTGCTCACTAGCTCTCTGCAGCAGGCACCAGGCATTCTTTCCCCTCCTCCATCTGGTGTTGCACCTGACGGCTGAGCTGTGTGTGCTTCTGCACACAGATGTCCTGTCTGTGTCAACTCTGAAAAGTCCTCGGCTTTTATCACTTCAGACACTATTGCTGCGTATCCACCTGCAGTTCACACATGCCTCAGACTCTGACGTCTGCTAACCTCTTTTACATGTGTCTACTGGAATTTCACTTTGTGTGTAGTTTTCTCGACCTTATTTATTCTCTCTTTGACTCTCTTGACTTACTATTAAATTCATTTTGGGTTCTTACTACTTAATTCTTTTAATTTTTGGAAATTATTTTTAACATGCTTCCTTTACTAAATGTGTTTTTAGATCATTTTGCACACATATGCGATACATACACACCACTCATCCCCACTCTTTTAACACTCCTACCAACCCCCCTCTACCCACAAATCCCTCTTTCACATTCTAGTCTATGTCTAGTTATTCTATTTTGTAGCCACTGAGATCAACCAGGGCCATATGATGCTCATGGGTTTGGAGCTAATCATTTATTAGATCTGTAGCTAGTTTCAAATTAATTTTTTCTTTAAACAAGATGGAACATTTCATAATCAAGATAGTCTGAGTTAACTTTTGCTTCTTTTTCTTTCCCATGTTCCTGTCTACTTACTAAATTATTGAGAGACATCTGTAGTACTAGGATGAAGGGGTATGTTTAATGGCTATGGATGTTTGCAATACCTATACTTTAAATTCAAATATGGCTTAAGATGTTTTAGGATACCACTCACCAACGTGAATTGGAGCTCAAACCCATGCACAAGAGTATGGTAACCATGTCTCAGGACAGTCCTCCACTTTCTAGTACCTAGCCTAGCCAACTTTATTTGCTAACTTTGGCAGGGCATAGACAGTAGGGGATTTGTTTTCTGTTCATCATTTTACTAAAAACACCCCCTCATAACATATCTTTGCTTGAGATTTTTGCATACTGAATTATTTTATTGTATTAATATGTCATTTATTATTAATTTGGGTATCCCAATATGAAATCAAAGGTAGCTATAAGTATTTCAACAATATGTTGAAAGCTTAGCCCTGGTTAAAATGTCTATTAAATTCCATATATTTTAGGTATTGTTTAAATAGTCCAAACAAGATAATTCTGATTCAAAATCTACTTTTGAAAAATAAGTAGGACATCTAGCCTTGGTAAACGAATAATTGTATTGTTTATTTAAAACATTTACCCGGCTGATCTTTTCATTTAGTACATTTTAAGAGAGCAGAGAGAAGAGATCTGTGAGGAGCTCCACTCACCGTCCTCCTGCCAGCAGTTCTCGGCACCGCCGTCCCCGTCCCCGCCTCCCGGTAATACTGTCTGGTCTGCTGGCAGCTCATCCTCTGGCACGCCACCTTCACAGTCAGCCGCATCTGTGATGCTTTCCTCCTCCACAATATGGAGTTTGTCTTCATCGTCAGAATCCGAATTTGCTTCTACCACAGTATTATAATTTGTAACTGTAATACAAAGGAACAAATAATCAAAATTGGTATAAAAATCTATTTTTACCCCTCACAAAAATACAAATTAACTTAAAAATAGATTGCAATTCAGTAACGTTTCCAAAACCATAATTAATAAGCAACTCACTTGATAACACATCTAGACACTAGATGGTCACAGTGACAAATAATAGTATCTACACTTATTAAAAATTCATGTAATGTATAAATGCTTTGCAAATATTAGCCACATTTAATTCTTACAATTTTAAAACAAGCATATGACACCGAGTTTTCCCAATTACTGCTTATATCCCTATTCTACACACTAGAAAACCAGGGAGAGAGAAGGTAATGTCTCTGGCATGCAGCCAGCAGGTCACGGAGCCAGGATTTGGAACTCAACAGTCTGAGTCCATGTTATCCTCTGAAATCACATTACACACTCTTCATCAGCACTGACCTTATTGTGTACAATGCTACTAATGTACAATTAGGCTTCACATCTTTATAGGGGCCGCCTTTCCTAATAAAAATACATCCTTCGTCAAAGTTACTCTATGAAAAGGACTGCTTTCAGCCACACACACTGCATATTAATCCCACAGTGACTTTGGAAAGTATCAGCTAATTTAGTCAAATTTATATGTAATATAATTTCTAACTAATTTTAATGAATTTCATATCAGAATTAGAAAGATAAACAATTGTTTTGAATGGTTTCCATACTTTGTAGCACTTGTGAGATATAGAAAATAAAATACTTGAAACAATCTAGCACAAATGAGTGCACAGTCACCACTCTGGTGGCATAGTTTGTGTCCAATGGGAAGAAGTCACTGAAAGACCTAGTTTCAACTATTTGCAGAAAGACCATCATTTGCTACATTTGAGAGGGAAGGAGGAAAAGACGTTCAGTTCTTTCTAGATAATGAACAGTTACTGCCCATTATTCTTCCCCTTGACTTGCAGTCAGCTAGCTGTTCTTGAGAGAAAGGAACCACCCAAATGCTTAGATGATAGGCATCCATAACCCTCTCCCTAAAAAGTGCATGCACACACTATAGGTGTGTGCTCCCACACACCCATACTCAACCACCCAGATATATGCACACCGCTAACAACATGAAGAAACATAATTGATAGTATAGTTAAGGATATTACGGGGCGAGCAAATGACCCAAACCCCCAGGACTGCTTTGGGAGCTGTAGGAAGACCCAGTCTGTTCACAAAGTACCTGGTGTGCCACTGCACTTGAAGCAGGAATTGGTCATGATTTGGGTCCAAAGTAAACACTGTTCAGTCTTTTAACATGAATACATTTATCTAGGTTTTCTAAGAGAAAACAGTTTCTCTCATTATAAAATGCATGTCATCATAAAAAAATCAGAATGAAAACTCTTGAAGTAAGCGAAAGTAACCATTTCCTCTCAACTTACATTATAAAGGAAAAACAGCCAAGTGCATTACTTCAATGCACTGGGCAGACATGACATTGAACATTATCACATACCTTATCCTAATCAATATAACAAAAACCCACATTGCTTGTGCCTGATTATCTACCACAAAAGCAACAACAGCATCATATTCTACTGTTTAGCCACCTTACAGTGTGTCATGGAGAACTTTCCCTGTCAATATATCTGAAACTCAATTATTCCCCAGAGTTACCAGACAACATTCCACTGTGCAGATACATTCTCACCTACCCCACCCAGTTTTTAATAAAATTTACTTTCTTTCTGGTGGTAAGCATGAACATCAAAATAACTTTTCTATGCTGATTGGTTGGCTATGAATTGTCCCCCAAAGACTCATGTATGGATAAGCTGGACCCTGGTGGGACTCTTTTGAAGGCTCTGGATACAGGTGAAGGGGGTGGGTCATTCCTGATACCTCCTTGTTGTGCCCTTCGCTTCCTGTGTGCCCGAAGTGTGGACCACTCTGCAGCATGCTCCTGCTGCTAGGTTTGCTTAAACGCACGAAGCCAACCAGTGACTGAATGTTCTGGAATATCGAATCAGACATTTCTCCTCCTTTAAGTTGTTTCTGTCAGGAATTTGGCCAATGTGACACAAAAGCAGGCAATACAATGGTCTTCTCTCAAAGAGATTTATCAGACAGTTTGTGGGGTAGAATGGTTGGATTGGGGATGAGGGGTGAAGATTTGCTTGATAGATAGTGTTCAATTGCTACTCTTCAAAGTGACTTTTTAACCTTTCCTGAGATATTACTTGAGCAAGTCTGTTCAATATATCAACAAGGAAAATGTTCCCTTTACTTTAATAAAGATAGAAGCATGGGCGGGTTCTCTGTGACAAGCCAAAGCACATAGTTGGGAAGCAACTATGTACTATATACAACTCCAGAGGAGCAGAGTGAAGAGTGTGGGGAGGGAGGGAGATTCTCAAACCCAGCATGTGCACACACAGAATGGGGACTCTGAAAATGATAAATCAGGATTAACTTTCATCTGGACTTCCAAGGTTATCAGTAACCTGAATTATTTGTTAAAGGCATCTGATAGTTAGGTAAACCAGCTAGCTTTGACTAAGGCTGAGCCAGTTCTCAATTCCAACAATCCCTGGCTACTGTGGGCAGCTGTGCTGACTGCAGAGTTCTCACCGGGCTTGTGCACGGTGAGAGTATACACATGGACCACCGAGTTTCCTGCTACTTGTTGAAGGGAAATGCTGGTACATTTTGGGGATTCCAAATTGGCCATTGATTCATATGGCCTTGCCTTTTAATGAAGTAATACTACACTTCAGTATTATCATAATTAATTTTGTTAGTTGTAGGTGGCTTGGCCAACTCTAGATTACAAATTTAATGTATAGCTGGGGTATTTTAGACTTAGAAGCATCCTCTGAATTTGGTTTTAGGGCCTAAGTGCATCATATTTTAAGTATTTGTTTGCATGCCTTGTATTTTCAGACTCCCTTTTAACCTAGACTACAGGGTATTCCAAAGGCCACTTATTATTTTCTAGGACTTTCCTGTTCCCCAGCATAATCTGCCACTGTGATATGAAAGATAAGCTGAATAGCCAAAACACAGGAACAACATACATGTAAGACTATAGAGCATATTTTGATATGTGACATGAAATGGGGAAAACACCCAAACTTCCAAACTTTATTGCTTAAGATAGAGAAAAGAACAGCAACTGTTGTCCAAGGTTGTTGTTTCTTCCTTTTCTATCTTTTGTCTCAATCACCCAGGCAAGATGAATCAACCATCCTGATCACTATTTAGACAACAGTCAAGATTCTCTGTTTTCTGGATCTGTCCTTTGAAAGCTTGAGACAGGGTCTCTCTTTGTAGCCCTGTCTGTCCTGGATCTCACTCTGTAGACCAGGTTGGCCTCCAACACACAGAGATCTGTCGGTCTCTGCCTCCTGAGTGTTGGGTGCACCACCACTGCCCATAAAGCTTGTGGACTTCTCCAGAGGATTTTCCTAAAGCATCACCGAAGCACATGGAATACGGCAGGCCCTGATCAGTCCAGAGACAAATGCGAGAGCCTGGCATCTTAGTCTTCAGCCCATTGTAACTCCTTTAATCTTTGATTAAAATCTGTTGTAACTTCTTTAATCTTTGATTAAAATAAGTAACGTACACTTGGTGAAAGAGGGTATTTTTTCATACTTTTACAACATAACACAGTCATTTATAGCCTCATTTCATAAACTGTGTTAAATGTGCATGGGGAGGTCTTAAAAGATTTGACAACAACAAAGGGTTCTGAACCCAGAACAACTAAAAACTTATTTTACAATTAAATGCAGAATGAATCGAGGTGCCCTGGAAAGTGCTCACCCATGCTGTATCACAACCCTTGGCATAGCACTGGTTCCAGACATACAACATGGCACATATTGCCCCTGAAACACCTCATTTCACTAATGCACATTTAAACCACACCATAATGTTTAAACTATATCTACAAAGTTTCTTGCTTGTACAGAAACATAATTCCAGTATTCCTCAGCACGTAAGTATCAATTTAGCATTATGTCTGGATTGTGCTATATTATTTGATTTTTAAAACTGCCATTTGAGTTGCTAATTTGAGTTCATAAAAAAATGGTAAATGGTTTTTGGCCTGAGATTAGGACAGAATATTCAAGTTTCTGAAAGAGCCATTAATGTACTTCTGCTATTTGGTATTATATATTTATGTGAAGTAGTATTCACAGAATCAACAATTATAAAAATCAGAATAATGATGAACCCTGAAAAGCAGTGAAGATGCTATACATCCCGCAGTACGAAATTCATAGCTGAGATTTAATTTTCATGTGAAAAGAAACAAGAATTTCAAGCTCATTAGCAAGTTTCTTTTGTCTTTAGTAAGTAAGAAGATCTTATGTATGGCAAAGAACTGTTTTAAAATGCATCCTTTATGATTTGTTTTCAGCAAATCCTTGATTTGTATACCTAATGTGGTAGTTTGAACAAGATGTCCTCCACAGGCTCAGGCACTGAACATTTGGTCCCCAGTTGGTGGTGCTGCTTGGAAAGCTTACGGGGGGAGGTACAGCCTTGCTGGAGGAAGTATTGTTGGGTACATTGGTTTTCACAGTTTAAAGCCTCATGCCACTTCCTGTTTGCTCTTTCTGCTTCGTGCTTGTACTAAGAGATGTGAGCTTTTAGCTTCCTGCTCCAGACACATGCTGCCATGCCTCCTCACCATTACGGTCTCTTACCTCTCTGGAACTGTAATTCCAAATCAAGTCTTCCTTTTATAAGTTGCCTTTGGTCATGGTGTTTTACCACAGAAACAGAAAAGTAACCAACATACCTACTTTCTATAGTTATATACCAGGCTCACATAAAAATATACTGGGTAAAAAGGGTCATGAATGGAAACATTTACAAAGCCTTGGTATATAGGATATAGTAATTCAATATAAATATACCATATATGTATGACCACGTCAGGGCTATTAGTATGTCCATATCCTCACATGTTATCACCTCCATGTGTCTCGAACCTTAAACTCTT